TGCACATAACAAAGGCTTGGCGGTGGGTTTCCAGGGAAACTTTCCAGCAGAGTAGGAAAAGCCCTATCTTTTGTAAGACAGATAAATCTGCATTCAAATCCCAGTCTCTCCTCCTTAGCCGAGTGATGATCACGTAAGGAACTGAAGTTCTCCGAAGCTCAGCTTCTCAATTTGGAATAAGGTATTACTGAGCCTTCTGTGCTAAGCACTATGCTAAATATTTGCTTGTATTATCCATTTCAGCTTTAATAAAACTTGATGGTGCTTTTTAAATTCCACTTTACACAAGACAACTGAGGCGCCCAGAGATGAGCCTCTTCCTAGATCTACCTTCTATACATGGAGAAAAGATTTACATGGAGGCAGTCTGACTTCAAAGTTCTTATCTTGACCCTTGTTCTAAAGTCCTTCACTCTAAAATGCAAGTACCAGTCCTGGCACAGTGGCTCACGCCTGTAATCCCAACATTTTGGGAGGCCCATGTGGCAGATCACCTGAAGTCAGCAGTTTGAGACCAGACTGGCCAACATGGCCAAACCCCATCTCTAATAAAAAATACAAAAAAATCAGCCAGAGGTGGTGGCGCACGCCTGTAGTCCCAGCTACTCAAGAGGCTGAGGCAGGAGAATTGCTTGAACCCAGAAGGTGGAGGTTGCAATAAGCCAAGATCACACCACTGCACTCCTGCCTGGGCAACAGAGCGAGACCCCATCTCAAACATCATACATACATACATACATATACATACATACATATACATACATACATACATACACATACATACATACATACACATACATACATATACATACATATACATACATATACATGCATATACATACATACATGTACATACATACATATACATACATACATATACATACATATACATACATATACATACATACATACATACATACATACATAAAATGCTAATGCCTGGATCCACCTCAGAAAATGATAGGTTGGTATAAAATATTCAGGACAATAATTTTTTTTTAATTATTAAAAGGAGTTTCTTAGCTCCCTTTTCTGAGATAACATAAAGTCTCATCCATTATTATTTTCAATAATTCACTGCATTGGCCCAAATGTAAGTAATGAAATCTGCTAAACTACTGGCCACTGATCCGCCTAAAATGTCTTCTTCCCCTCAACCAGGCATGACCCCATCCTAACCTGGGAATCAAAGTGTAATAAACCTTCATCCCAGGCAACCTCTGCATATAGCCCCTCAGTTCTAGGGGAATTGAAGGGCCAAATTTTTCAGGTTTTCTAAGAATGTATCTCATCTTCAACAGAGAATCTCCATGTGTCTCCTCTGGGAATTCCCAAATATATTCAATTATTAATTGTTCAAAGAGCAACAGACAGCAGTCAAGCACCCACTACATATCAGGCATGGTGCCACCTGCCAGAGACACCAGAGCAAGCCTTACCCACACATTACCCCCATAGAGCTTTGGGTTCATATTGGAGATAGACAGGAAGCAGCAAGGTCAGGACTGTGTGAGGCTCCAGGATGGGCAGGGAAGCAGGGAGGAACCACCCAGCAGGTGGGATCCTGGTGAGTGGACAGAGCTTCCCAGAAGATGTGGCCTCAGAGCTGACACAAAGGCTGGAAGAATAACCAGAAGAAATTCCAGGAGAAGCCACTTAGGAAGACATGGTCAGGATGCATGGCTGCCATCAGAACAGGAGAGGCCCAGGCCATGGGGAAACGAACGTGGAGGGCAGGAAAGAGAAGAGAGAGGTGCCATATGGACCAAATGTCTCACCGAGATGATGCACCACTCATTCACTTAATGGACAAACTCCAGGAAGTGCCAGCATATTCTGTAACCTTCCCACAAGCCCCGAAAGTAGAAAAGATGCAGGCAGCACAAAATGACTGTACGGCTCTTTGCTCTGGATACAACCCTGTGAAAGTTAAATATAAAGGCTTGAGACTAAATCAGAAAAGTCATATGCTTATAAAAACTTATGGTATCAAATTTGCTTTGCAGAAAAATGTAAGATGCTCTAAGGGTCTCTGCTTCCCTTTCCCCTGAACCCAGCCCCTATGAAGTAAACATTCTGTATCCCCAAAGTTACATTGCAAAAACTACCTTGCATAGATCTGATTTACATGCATGATGTATGACATCTTTCTTTATGTGCAAAGCAAAGTTCCATTGAGTAAAATGTACTCAGTATCTTAGGGGAGAAAAAGCAAAGAATAATAATTTCTTTCCTTGGAGTCTAGGAGTTAATTTCTATGCTGGACAAGTTTTTAATAACATTGGACACACCATGGGATTTTTGGAAGTTCATTTTTGACCCTCTTAAGTTAGAATTTTTCTTCCAGCTCAGATGGATCTTTTATCTGTTCTACCCTTAATACTCCTGCTAATCTTAGTAGAGAAAAGCTTCATAATTTGAAAAAGAGAAGTTTAACAAGACGTGAGGCTGATTGTTTGCACAATCAGAACATCTAATTGAGCTGTAGTATTCTAAACCACGCTTGCGTGCAGGGAGATAATTTTTCCTTCATTTCCTATTTTATCAGAAAATTAACCTTCATTTAAAGCACTGTGGTCTGAAACACTTTTATAGTTACATTCTCTCCGCTGTTTGAAAGAATTTGAATTTTAAATTTGCCATCCTGGTCTTTAAAAATGAAATAAACTGCGGATGCGTTGGGGACCAGGTGTTTATGATCAAGCAGACATCAGAATGTGACGTGGGTCCAAAGCCCTGCTCCTGCCAGCCAAGGGGACTATTCTACCAGATCCGTTAGTTTTTCAACTTCTGGTGAAATAATGAAGCTTTGAATTTGCATAGCAATCTTTTTGTCTGAAACCTAAGAGTCCCACAGATCTTTCATTTAATTGCGCAAACACTGGAAACCTTTATTAAGTACCTCTCTGCATGGAGAACTCAGCTTGGCCCCAGACAAGCCAGACTTGAATCCTGCAATGATGACACAGAGTTGGCCATGGTACAAGTGAAGTTAGGTAATTCATTTGACACACAGTTCACTAAGCACTAAGCACTCATTACACATATGTAACCAGAGTGGGCCCGAGTTCATTTGGGGTCATCTTGTCTTGTAATATTCTGGAACGAATACCCAAGCTGTCATTTTCACAGACTGCTGATATTTCTACCAGAAATTGAGTCTCCACCAAAGTATTTCTAAAGATTCTGAGACAGGGTGAAGGGTAGAAGGAGGCACCATCTCATATCTAGACATCTGTTACAGGTTAAATCGCACGTGCCCTCGAAATGGATCTGTTCAAGTCCTAACCCCTGGTGTCTGTGAACGTGACCTCATTTGGAAGTAGGGTCTTTGCAGATGTAACCAAATTAAAATGAGGTCATTAGGATGGGCCCTAATCCAATATGACTGCTGTTCTTATAAGAAGAGGGAAATGTGGACACAGACACACAGGAGACACTATGTGGCAACAGAGGCAGAGGCTGGCCAGCGACACCAGAAGCTGAAAGGGGCGACAGAGAATTCTCCTTTACATATGAGAATACAGAGGGCACCAGAGATTAGCTCCTCCCCCAGCTCTTGCCGCTTACAAGTGGTGATAGGATCTGCGTGCAGGCAGTCTCACTCCACAGTTCTTGTCTTGACCATCGTACTAAAGTCTTTCACCCTAAAATGCAAGTAACCAGGTCCACTTCAGAAAGGGCTCAGGTTTCAGAGAGAGTGAAGCCCTGCCAACACCTTGATTTTGGACTCCCACCTTTCAGAATTCTGAGAAAATAAATTTCCATTGTGTTAAACCACCCAGTTTGTGGGATTTTGTTACGGCAGCTACAAGCTGCCTTGATTTTGTAAGGCAGCTATGTCTGTCTTCCCTGCCGCTCGGCTCCACGGTGAACAGGGATCCAGGCCTTTCACTCTCAGACCACCCTCATCCAGGACTGTCATGTGTAGCAGACCTTTATGAGGCCTGGGTATAAAAGAGGGGAATTGCTATACAGATCCGAAATAAAACCCCATGTCTCTGCTGCTGAAGTTTAGCTTCCAGAGGGGAACTTGCCTGGCCCTGTCAAGGCTTGGGTCCCAAACTGTTGGCAGGGGCCAGCCAGCTTTTTCCCCTAGAGTTCTTACCCTACCTCCCATGACAATTCTCAACTGAAATCTTCATTCTAGGATTTGCCCAATAAGAAAATCCAAATCACTTTATGGCAGAATAACCTGTCTCCCGCAGGAAGGTTCCTGTTTTCCTTCTATGCAAAACTAGGCTCCCCAGAACCATTATCTGACTAAATAACTGAACGGTTCCTTCACAGATCATCCTAGCCCAATAATGTATCCTCACCATGGGGGCTCTGGGAAATGGTTTGCAAAGAACCCCTCACATCACAATCACTGTGAGTGTCTGCCTAAAATGCAGATCCCACTGGATTACAGGTTTTTTAGGGGGGGGTTAGGAACAACTGCATTTTAAGAGTCCTGGTGACCAAGAACCACAGCATTAAAGCCAGGAGCACAAACTTCAGCCAGCCTTTAAAATAGCTGTTCTTTCCCTCTTCCTTCATAACAATGCCAAGGGTAGAGACTGATAGGCTTGCTACAATGTCCCCTTGGATGAAATCTGATTCTACTCCTGTTGCAAACACAGTACAGAAGCTCCACACACCCTCCCACCAGCCTCTCCCTCCCCAGCACAGCGATAGTTCCTCCCTGGCCAGGCCTCAGTCTCAGAGGTGGCATCCTCTTTTGTATTGCGCTTGAACCCTGATGCCACTTGGCAGTGGAGACTTTGGGCATGCTAGTCAGGAAGATCCACTTCCTCCTCTGCTCTCCTCCCCTTCTCAGGGCTCAGTTACATCCTCCAGCAGTGGCCACCTCCCTCCTCACTCTGCCTTCCTCTTTCCTAGTATCTTCTGAGACTTGGTAAGACTACCAACATATATTAATAGTTCCTAAATTATTTTAATCCAATAATTCAAACCAGGTTATTTGATCTTACTGGAATTGAACACAAAATAATTCTCACCCTGAGGTTGATGCATCTTCCCTGTATTGAATGCACAGATGAATCTGAGTTCCACAGTAGAAGCCTGCGTTGTCACCAGCTTGCTCTTTCCTTTTCTTTCCCTCCTGGTTATCTACTCTAGGGAAGAAAAAAAAATCACATTCCTTCAATAAATATTTATTGAACTACTAGTTTGCTCCAGGCAAGGGTCATAAATAATTCAGGGACTTTACCACTGAAGAAGGCATAAAAAGTAAACAAAACCTATGGAATAAATATGGATCATGTTCTATTGGAGTTCAGAGGAGGGAACCTCAATGCAGCACAACCGAGTCAAAAAAGTCAGCACAGAGATGCTGGGACCTGGGGTCATGAAGCCACTGTGGAGGAGGCATGAGAAAAGATGATCCTGCAAGGTCCTTTTGCTCACAAGCTACAGAAACAGAAAACGTGGTTGAAATCCTTCAGCAGGCCACGTGGCCCAGGCATTAAAGCACCAACTATGTTTGCTTGAGGGAGCTACGTAACCTTCCTGGGCCTTAGTTTTCTCATCTGTGGTCTCAAAGTAATAAGAGTTTTTGAAACAAATGAGAAAAATTAATACATAAAGTGCTTAGGAAAGCATATAATAAGCTCTCAATAACTACCTATTATGGCTAAGGAAAAAGGTGGACTTCATAAAGATGATCTCAGCACAGAAGGAAGACTGAAAACCAAGCCCCATGGAATGAACCAGAGCCAGGGAAGCTCCATAAGCCGTGACTATGGACCTCAGGTGGCTGTGCATCAAGCCCCTGTCAGGTAGGCTCCAGCCAACTCTTGCAATTCCCAGGAGAGGGATTCTGACTGCCCAGCTTGGGACAGCGGGCAGGTCCCAGTGACATGGCACCAGAGGCTCAGACATCCCACTTTGCAAAAGATTCCAGACAAGGAAACTGACAGGTCATGGTTTGGGGGAGCAACCCAAGAGGCTTTGGTATAGCAGGAGCCTGGGGTTTGTAGCAGGATAGAAGAAATGTATGCTTTTTCCTGTGGGCAGTGAGGAACTACCGAAGGAAGGGAAGACAGGAGCACTGAGTGCTTGCCCAGGGACATAGGTCATCCTCAGAAGGCACCATCAGGCAATGAAGACCATGGAGCAAGCTCACCTGATAACTTAGGCTATGTGTCCCCACTCAAATCTCATCTTGAATCGTAGTTCCCATAATCCCCACATGTCATAGGCAGGACCCAGTGGGAGGTAATTAAATCATAGAGGCAGTTACCTCCATGCTGTTCTCATGATAGTGAGTGAGTTCTCATAAGATATGATGGTTTTATAAGGGGATTTCCCCACCCTTTGCTCTGCACTTCTCTTTCCTGCCACCGTGTGAAGAAGGACAGGTTTGCTTCCCCTTCTGTCATGATTGTAAGCTTCCTGAAGCTTCCCAAGCCATGCTGAACTGTGAGTTTCGTAAATAAACTTGCTTTCCTTTGTAAATTACCCAGTCTTGGGTTTTTCTTTATTAGTAGCTTGAGAACTCAACAATACACTACCTTACCCCTTCCCAAGCCCTGGTGCCCCAGCAGGAGGTATCAGCCCATCAGGCACTCTGGTCTTCCCTAAGAGGTATCTATGGAGGGCCCTTCCATGGCTCAAGGATGTCTAATGTCCATGCATCCAGGTTCAGATCCATCTCCTTGCATGATAAAGGTCGTTTCTAAATGGCTCACTTTTCTAATGTGCACACAACAGAACTACTTGGAGATCCTGGAATTTAAGATACAATTTTCAATCTACTTGGCCCCCAAATTCAGTAGAAATTGGATCTTTTCAAGTGTTTTAAAAACAATCTGTGCTAATGGCACAATGTTCTTGCTAATGCCCTTTAAGGGCCAAATTTTCAAAAATGGCAAATAAATTTGTTTGTCGTTTCCATGTGTAGTTTTATGGGTGGGTATAAATACTGCAGTTGAAATAACAAGCTGATTTTTTCTTTGCAAACATTTATACTGAGGATTGAATGAGGTGTAAATTGGAAAGGTTATCCCCGTCTAAAGAAAAAGGGCAGGGCCATTCTCAGCTCAGAGTACACCAGACAGCCAGGGTCAGAAAGGGGCTATGACAGAACAGGGTGTTCTCCTTATGCCAGGCTTCAAGAGAAACTGGGCTGGTCTGTCCACACAGCAAGCCACAGGAACACTAGCTGCAGCTTGTCGCTTGCCTCAAGTAACTCCTCTTTCCTCTCCCACTTCACCTCAGGAATTACTCCAGACCATCCACCCTAGACATCTCCAGGTTCTCTGATCCCATAATACTAACTCCCTAAATTTGCCCTGGGATTGCTCTATTTGGACAACAGTTTTGACACCGGACTTCAAATTTCAGTGAACTTTCACCCACATCACCCCAGGACTCAGATTTGTTCCCTGCCTTAACTTCTGGATCCTTAGGAGTCCGAATGAGATCTCCTCTGCCAGTGTGAGCCCCTCAGACTCCTGCCAGTGGGCCTGTCCGTACTATATACAGCCCCCAGCCCAAGCTGCCACGGGCAAATGCACAAAAGCTTAGAATCCAGGCAGCCACATTCACTGCATTCTGACTGTTCCTCCACTCCAATGGCTAACGTGACAGACTCCAAAGCATAAGGCAAAACTAGAGACTGGGGTGTGGTCTTCATGCTCCTCTGTTTTCAAATATATTCGATGGCATTGTAGCAAGGGCATCACTCTGGGCTATGCCAGGATAGCAGGGCTGAAAGCTCACAGCCAGCTGGTGCCTTTCTGAATGGCCACACTTGTACTCTCCCAGTCATTGTGTATTGTGACCGTCACCCCTGGCTGCACCCAGTTAAAAGCGAGAGGGCAGTCCGTGCTGAAATCAAGTTGTGTTGCACTGGGGCCAGGAGAATGCAGGCTCTTGGCATTTAAAGAAGTAGTTAGTACAATGCACCCAGGCACCAGGCTCCTGCCTCTCCCCTCCTGATGAGGAGGGGCAGGCCAGGGGCTGGAAGAGACAGCTGACCCCCTCTCCCGCTGTACAGGCCAGGCTAGGCGAGCTGGGCAGGAATCAGGAGGGAGGAGGTGCTGAGGACACTTGAATGACCAGCAGCAGCCAGGACCTGCTGCCCAAGGAAATGTTCCCGGAGGAAACCACAGGCTTCTAGAAGTCTCGGGTCTTCCCTCCCAACACAAGGCCCTCCTTCCCTGAAGCCTCGCCCTGTCCTAAAACACTATGCATTTGGCCACATGTGAGTTGGGACATCATCCTCAAAACATGACATACATGCCTATACCTCTCTACCTGGGGTCAACACCTGAACAGCCAGGAGAGGCCTTGACCACATTCCTGGACCCTGCCATCTTTCCTTCCTCCACAGGACAGCACAGAAACTCAAAACCTGCCTGCGGAATAAAGCACACATTTTATTTCTGAATCCAGTCTCTGTTCCCCACAGGGCACGTAAGTGTGAAGGCAGGACTGTCTGCTTCCCTCAAGCTCATATCCCAGCACTTACTCAGAGCCTATCAACCAGCCAGAGCTCAAGAAATACATGGTGACAGAGTAAATAAATTCGTCTGTGGAGACACTAAAGCTTTCCTAGGACCGGCATAAAGGAAACTCTTCAACACAGCTAATACCCAATTCTCAGATCATTTGGTTGTCACTCATAAGTGCCCTAGCTTATTTGCATAGCAAAAATAAGATTTCACTGGAGGCCACACTCACATCAGTTCCCTGAGAATTACTCAGCAGAGGCCTGGATTAGTCGATGTGTTTAGTTTGGAAGTTCCTGACTTCACAAAAGTTACTTTCAGTTACTAGGAATTTTCCAGTACATTTTCTCTGGCTTTATAAAAAAAGATCTGATCCAATTATGATTTTTCTCTCTCTAGAATTTCTACATTTAGCTTCAGGATTTATCAATGACATTTTCTCAAAGCAAGAAAGTCTCTTCAGCCAACAGTATTACTGTTTTAGAAGGGAAAGGTGGATTTTTCCCCCCTTTTTGAAGCTGTTGGTGCGTCTGGGAGAACTCACAGACTCACCCCTCCCCCAGCTTCTCTATGGTGGCTTTGGAGAGAACAGCAAATTTGGAATTCTCACTTGCTGATGGTACTGGCATCAGAGTTCTTAGTGGACTTTTGCCAAAGGCCATTAATAAAATACAGTCCAAATGTCCTAATTAGCATGCCCTCCAGTGTGGTCATGTGTCCTAATTAGCATGCCCTCCAGTGTGGTCATGTGTCCTCATTAGCATGCCCTCCAGTGTGGTCATGTGTCCTCATTAGCATGCCCTCCAGTGTGGTCATGTGTCCTAATTAGCATGCCCTCCAGTGTGGTCATGTGTCCTCATTAGCATGCCCTCCAGTGTGGTCATGTGTCCTAATTAGCATGCCCTCCAGTGTGGTCATGTGTCCTAATTAGCATGCCCTCCAGTGTGGTCATGTGTCCTAATTAGCATGCCTTCCAGTGTGGTCATGTGTCCTCATTAGCATGCCCTCCAGTGTGGTCATGTGTCCTAATTAGCATGCCCTCCAGTGTGGTCATGTGTCCTCATTAGCATGCCCTCCAGTGTGGTCATGTGTCCTAATTAGCATGCCCTCCAGTGTGGTCATGTGTCCTCATTAGCATGCCCTCCAGTGTGGTCATGTGTCCTCATTAGCATGCCCTCCAGTGTGGTCATGTGTCCTAATTAGCATGCCCTCCAGTGTGGTCATGTGTCCTCATTAGCATGCCCTCCAGTGTGGTCATGTGTCCTCATTAGCATGCCCTCCAGTGTGGTCATGTGTCCTAATTAGCATGCCCTCCAGTGTGGTCATGTGTCCTCATTAGCATGCCCTCCAGTGTGGTCATGTGTCCTAATTAGCATGCCCTCCAGTGTGGTCATGTGTCCTCATTAGCATGCCCTCCAGTATGGTCATGTGTACAGCTTGGACTGGCTCTTGGTGATAAGCTGCCCTCACAAAGCTCAAGTCTCTGCTTCCAGCAGGCTACGTCACAGAGGACCTGCTGCAGTGAGCCTTCTGGAGGTCGGGGCAATGTGCGGAAGGGCACGTCACTGCCAGCCACCCGCACTCCCACTAGGACCTGGAGCTGGGCACCAGCCGCGCCCAGCTGAGAGGTGATGTCAGATGTTCCTGTGGGGATCCAGCTTCTAACTAGAAGCAACTCCCATGTAATGGAAGAGCAGCTTCCCTGCTAAGCTTCAACCCTGAAGTTTAACGACCCAAATGCCTCAGGAAGCACTGCTCGGGTTTTGCCAGAGACATAAAGGTCTTACCCCATTAATTGGTGCTTAAATAAAAAGAATAAATACTGCAGAATCTAACGAAAGTTGCTCCCCACCTTTTCCTACCCTGAATGTACTATGACCCTAGAAAACACTTACTTAATAAGTAGTTTTTTTAAACAAAAATAAATGTCCTGAAAACTACTCCAGGATAGATTTCTGCATAATGGAATTGTAAAGAAAAGAATAATCATTATTCCCTGTTTTTAGAAAACTAGATTTTTTTGGTAGTTGAACTTCCTTTGCTACTGACGCAGTGGACAGAGCGCCCAAGGATACATTTACCCAAAGATAAATTTCTGCCACCTTCCATGAAATGACCCTGGGACACCCCGCAGTGCTAGATATTTCCATAAGCTGAACCAGACAGAGAACTCAGTACACTTCAAACAATACGCCTCTGACTGCTGGTTTCCTTAACACAGGTTCAGATGGAAATAGCCCTGTATGCCCAAAGGGTAGTAGGATTTTCTTCAGTCCCTCTGTCCTGATATCAAAATGCGATGCTATTTTCTAACATTTTAGGTTTTGTTCAACCTAGAACCGTTATTGACCCCTGCATCCTCAGCACCAAGCACAGAGGCTGTTTCTTGGTAGATGAACAGCAAATTTTTGCCAAGTGAGTGGTAACCACCATCCCTGAGCTACCTTAGATATCTGTTCTGCGAAATCTGCTCTGAGTCCATTGATAGAGTTTGGCTGTGTCCCCACCCAAATCTCATCTTGAATTGCATGTCTCAAAATTCCCATGGCTACAGGAACAATCTCTGGGGAGATAACTGAATCATGGGGGCGGTTTCTCCCATACTGTTCTTGTGAATAAGTCTTGACCTGATGGTTTTATAAGGATAAACCCCTTTTGCTTGGCTCTCATTCTCTCTCTTTGCCTGGTACCATCCATGTAAGATGTAACTTGCTCCTCTTTGCCTTCCACCATCATGGTGAGGCCTCCCAGCCACATGGAACTGTAAATCCAATGAAACCTCTTTCTTTTGTAAATTTCCCAGTCTTGGGTATGTCTTTATCGGCTGTGTGAGAAAGTCTAATACAGCCATGGTGGGGTCCCTGCCAAAGGCAGCTTTCCTGGAAGCCTCTCAGAAGATGACACAGCTACAGTTGTGGCGTCTCTTGAGTAGCCTGCTCTTTATGAGGACATAGTCTGTCCCTAGAAAAATTACCTGGTGGTGCTCACTTCTGAACAATATCCCAAGAACATATTGCTCCGTGCCCACTCTCCTGTTTCATCCCTCCAGCCTCCACTTCACTCTCCCCAGCCCGCAGTCAGCAGGAGGTCTCTTCTGCAGCGGCTCAGCACCCCCTTCCTGAATGGCCACCAGTCTCCTAGGCTGACAGCCTCCCATCAGCCAGGGCAGGTTTGGCCCATGCAGCTGAGAGTCCAGCAGGGAAGACGAAAGTCACCAGGTAAAGCAAACGAAGCTCAATGCAAGAGGACCAGCAGCCACTGCTCCCCGACTCTCCTCAGCTGCTCTGGACTGTTCCTCTAGGATCCCATGCTTGAGCTCTAAATCCTCGGGTTCTCATCTCAGTCTGTCCAATACAAACATCCAAGGCCCGTGCTTTTTGTTCTAAAATCCTGTGCCACGCATGTTCCCAATGACGAGTGCTTTTCAGTAGTTTGAGGAAATGTTGTAGGGTATTTTCCCATCAATAGCATTTTTCATAAAAATACCCTAAAAGCGAACTGAAGCCGAGATTGGCCCTGGACTTGGGACAAGCTCCCACCCATTCTGACAAAGGAGCCCAGTAACTCTATGCAGAGTCCTCCTCCCAGGAAAGGCCCAAGTACTCGGTTCTTCTTCAGGAGGTGACACAAAATGTCCATTAGAGCTAGAGAAACTTGCTCTGTCTCTAAACTATTTTCATTACTTCCCTGGAACCAGCCACTATGGGGAGCTCAAGCCCGCTTCCCAGTTTCTTTGCAGGCTGTCTGGGCACCCTGTCTGGGCACCCTGTCTGGGCACCCTCGGTTCTTCCCGTCAGCACCATAGCTTTGCCCACCCAGCAGAGAAAACATGGATCACAGCCGGGTTTCCATAATTTTTACCCTGTCATAATATAACCAAACTCAGGTCCAGGCCACTTGTCACCTGAAAGCCAAAAACTCAAGAGATGAGCTTTGGTGAAAGGAAAGTTAGCCTCATTCCAGAAGCCACCGACCCAGCGCAGGCGGTGAACCGGCATTCAAGGAGCACCTCTCCGAGTTGTGACTCTGGATGAGGGAGTTTTAAGGGGAACAATCATCCAAACATTCTGGTGAAACCTATGCTGTTTCCAGGTGGGCAGTGAATCGTCGCTTTCTTGGTCAACGTTTTGAGACCTTTTGCAGGTACCTTATCAGGTAGGTAAGCTGATGCCCAGAGCTCTTGGTCTGAGTATTTTCTTGTCTCTCTTTTGAAGGCCCTGTTTTCCTGAGGCTGATTTCAGTGAATAATCTACATACTCAAGCAATCAGGCTTTTCTCTAACATGGGCTCCATCCTGCTGCAAGAGGGCTGCCTGCCTCTAGAGCTGAGGCTCCTACAAAAAGCGGCATGGTGTGCTAGTAAGAGCATGAGCTTCGGCGCAGCATATCTGCTTTCCAGTTTCGCCACAACAAGTAGCACCCAGGACTTTGGCCTGGTGACTTGCCCCTTCCAAACCCTATCCGAAAACACACTGACAATTATTACAACAAATGAGGATTAAGCAGAGTACCATGTGAGTCTAGAATATAACTAGCACTTAACACGCAGAAACCATTTCTTGAAGCTGGAGAAGTCTTATTTTCATCTCTGTGTTCATGATTTTAAAAGGCCTTGTTGATTGTTGAAATAATTTGGTATGATAACTCATGAGCATGTTTAGAGTGAGAAGAACATGAGTTTCGGCACCAAACATAACAGTCCTGGTTCCTGTTAATCTAGGAAGAGCTGGGCTGTTTAATGGGTGCTGTAGATACGGGTACCTGAAGCTGTTTCCCTGGTGTCTCTGTTCATGTCTCCCCTGTGGCTTTGGGGCTTCCCTCTGTGTTGCTTCCCAGAGAGAGTCTGTGTCTTACAGACCCTTCTGTTTAACTCACTTCATGATGCTGGGTGCCACTGGAGCGGGCACATTCTACCATCTCAGCAAGCCGCAGCCTTTGGGCAGGACTGTATCTGGGGCTTTCCCTCCCCCAAGGTGTGAATGATTTTTTTAACTTATTTTAATTAACTTATTTTTTGAACATACACATTGTAATTGTACGGTTAATGTTTTGTTCTTAGGCAAATCAGGAAGCCTGGAAAGAGCTTTAGTCTGCAGCAGTTTCCCCACATGGCCTGACCAGAGGTGACACATCTCACACAGCCCCAGCGAGGTGGCACCCTGCAGGGGGTCCCCCAGGCCAAGGAATTCTCAACTCTGCCTGTTCAGCAGCCTCCCCAGAGGGTGGGAGGATGAATACAAGGTCCCAGCCCCCACCCTAGGGTCTAAAGCCATTCATCTTCAGTGGAGTCCTGGGATTAGTATTTTTTCAAACCTCCCCAGGAGCTTCTTCAATGAAGCTTCGTTTTAGAATCTTTGGTCTGAGGCCTTGTTCCTCACCGGTGTGGTCACCAGACCCCCAGCACAGGGAGCAGCCAGGGGCTGTCAGTCACACCAAGTGTCTGACCCACCCCAACCCTGTGGAACCCAAACCTGCATTGTAACCAGATGCGCAGGAAATAGATCCACCGAGAGGTGTGAAGAGCCCAAGCTGCTCAGTACCATTGTATTGGCTGCCTAACATAGCATCACCAGCCAGTGGCTCACACAAGGGAAATGTGTCATCTCCGCATCCCTAAAGGCCAGCCGCCTGGGAGCCAGGTATTGGCAGGTGGGTTCAGTCTGAGGGCTGGGAGGGAGAAGGCTTCCAGGCCTGTCTCCCTGGCTGGCAGGTGGCCCTCTTCTCCCTCCGTCTCTTCACCTCACCTTCCCTCTATGCATCTGTCTCTGCATCCAGATTTCCCCTTTTAATAAAGACATGGGTCATGCTGGATTAAAGCTCACCCTAAAGGGCTCATTTTAACTTGATCACCCTATAAATATCCTATCTCTAAACACAGTCACATTCTAAGCTCCTGGAGGTGAGGACTGCTACATGTAACTCCAGGAGGACACTGTTCAGCCTGTGACACATATTCTAAGCCTGACTGGAGCCTGACTTTACCCCCTCCCTCTGACCTCCAGCCCTGGTCATGGCTCTGGGGCACAGAGCTTCCTGCCACCCCTGGAATCCAGTGGTTTCTTTCCTAGCCTGTGAGGACTAAGCTCTATTTTTTTTTAATTTTGCCCCAATTCCTATCTAAGGAATCTGGGGAGTCATGCGCTACAAACCATAAATTCTCATCAGATGCGTTTTATTTAATCCTTTATATCATGATATACTTTCCAGCCTGACTCTGGCATAACAAGACAAGGAAGAAAATCAAAATATTTTACCCCAAAACATATTTAGTTGCCATATCTTCAAATGGTCCTGCAAAGCTGCCCTTTGTGGGGGAAAATCTGCATCTGTAAAGAATCTCTATTAACATAGCTAGATCTTTTTCTTCCAGGCCCTCCCAATCCTCAAGAGATTAACTAAAAGTCTTGCACCTTTTATGGATCTGAATAGGCGATATTTGTCCTCTGTTGTCTCTAAGGGCAGCCACTACAAGACTTCAAAGAAACCTTGATCTCCACTTTCTTTTATCTTCACCTGAACCTTTCCTTTCTATCAGTCCCAGGTCTTTAGACAAACTCCACCAATTGTCAACCAGAAAATGTTTACATTTACCTGCAGCCTGGAAACCCCCACTTTGAGTTATCCCACCATTCTGTACCAAACCAATGTATTTCTTAAATGTACTTGATTGATGTCTCATGCCTCCCTAAAACGTATAAAACCAACCTGCACCCGACCACCTTGGGCACAGGTTCTCAGGACCTCCTGAGGGCTGTGTCAAAGGCCATGGTCATTCATATTTGGCTCAGAATAAATCTCTTCAAATATTTTACAGAGGTTGACTCTTTTTGTGGCCTCCTGGCCTCCTGAGGAAGGCGCCCCCACTTTGGTAAAACTTAGATCAGAGTTCCTGCTCTTTTACAGCTTCCCAACCTTCAGCGCCTCACTTTTCCTGGCTCTGGAATCTCTTCAGAAGTCTTCTCTGAGCTTGACTTCCTGGGGCTGTGCCTCCTACTGGGTATCCAGCAGGTCAAGGGCAGGGCAGGGTCTCAGCTCACCTTACCTCCCTCTGGCCTGGTACCTGCTGGACGTGCCTTCGCAAGCAACATTGGCTGTAAAATGAATCTAACGCTGTAGGAATTCAAACTTAAAATCAGCACCAGGAATGTCCCTAATGTTTACACCAGTTGCAGAAGAGAGAGCTGTCCAGCATGGAGATGCAGAGGCTTTTTCAAGGGCCTTCACTGTCTGCTACTCAGCCACTTGTCCTGGTAATTTTTCTTTGGGGCCTCTGTTTGGGTTTCTTATCAGGTGGTAGGAGGTTGGAATCTAATGGGACCCCCAGCTTCCCTCCAGCTTCTCTTCATGTGCCAGCATCTCATCTGCCCTGCTCATTTTCCCAAGAAATCCTGAGGGCAGTAATGAGGCTGTTATCCAACTCCCCACTTAAGCTTAAGAAGTGGCTCCAAAGCACTTGTGAAACTCCCTGATATTACAGGGGTGCGGAAATCATGACCATGTCCTGAGAAAGGCAAGATCCTCGTTCCCGCTCCTCCAGCCCTGGTAGGGCCCAGCCTAGCCCCGGCCCCAGCCCACATTCACCTGGCGTGGCTGCTCCCTCCAGAGACCAGGCATTTTTGCAGATTTGTCCCATGAGGTTCACAGGCACAAGGGCAGTGGTTTCCCCTGGCCTCTACTGAGTCATCGCGAATATTTTGTTGCAATGCAAAAGCCTAGACTTTTTTCACATTCCAACTCTAATCCCAAACAAGTCATTTGTTATTATGTTTGATATCTTACCTTCTCCGCTTCATACAACTGAATGACAAATATGGAGTTTGGTGATGTTCTGTAACCCATGCATTCTGAAAAGTTTGAGTAACTGGGAAATTAGTTCAAAGGGAAAAACTGAAGTGAGTGTGGAATGAATTAGGTGGCTGGGTCCACGTCAGGGCAGATAAACACGGAGTCACAGCCAAGGTAATTATGATATAATCTGGCCATAATCCTATCAGCAGAGGGTGCACAATCTACTGCACATTTGCTCTGAGATGTGCAGTTCTCCTCCACTCTCCCCTTCCTCAAAGGTCATATGGAGCCCAATGCAAATAGAGACTTTTTCTTTCCCCTGAGAGTTGATTATTCGTTTCTCACAGTATTCTGGGGGGACAAATTAGCATGCCAGGTGAATTCATGCATGATCCATTCTGAGAAAGCACTAGGACATAAAAATTATGTTCTCTTGAACTTGGTGTTTTTTTTAGGTTAGGAATCTCTTCTTAAATCCATCTTCCTTTGTCTTCTCTCCCTCTTTCCCTTTCTTTTTCCAGCTGATATCACATGATGGACTATGCATTTAAGATCTGAAAACAGGTGAAAAGCTTGAGCCTGAAGAAGCCAGTGGCATTTATGAATGCATGTAGAAGTCCATTCTCTAATGCATTCTCAAACAGAGCATGCATTTGGAGAAGGAAAGAGAAACAAGCAGTAGAAGCCAAACCCATTTAAGATGTTTTAAAAATTAGATGTGCTATTATAAACTTAGAGAATTTTCTCCCAAATCCACCTCTGTCATAAAGAAAGCTATTGAAGGGGTCATTGTAAGGACAAATATTGCTTTTTTCTTCTATGTCCAAGGAAATGAATCTTCTGCTCAGGAGGAAAAGAAAGCAATGATGTTGCCTCTTTTGTATGGGGATAAGGCAGCTCTTTATTTTTATGTTAAAGAGTTGTCAAGACACTTATATTTTTCATAGCATTAAAAGTTATTTTTTATTCTACTTAATTGTTCATTGAGATTTCAAAACCAAATCTGCCTCCTTGCCAAATATCTTTGTAATATGTACATTTCACACTGGCTTATTATAATAGGTTTTCTTGTGGGATATCCTATTCTGGCATCTGCTTTGTTATGATATTATAACAATAATTAACATTTCGTACTTGCTGTATAGTCAGCGTTTGATCCATATTTTTAACAAAATGTAATAACAATGCTCTTTCACACAGCATCTTTCATCCCAGAGCCTCAAAGTAGTTGGCAGCATCATATTATAGTCTGAGATAGTTGTATTCACTCCTGAAACCCTCCCAACGCCCCCATGGGGTCTATCCACAGCAGGCATCTTCCTTAGGGGAAAGGAAGGGAAGAAAGGTCAAGTGAATTGCCAGGCAGCAAGACAACAGCAGCACGGCCAGGAATAGAATCCAGCCCGGTTGCCTTCTTGGTCAGGGACTCCAAAGATGCAATTGCATCTATTTTTAAAATAAAAAGAGATGAGAGAGAAAAGCAAGGTCATTTGGCTCATTCTGAAAGGGCTTTGGATATGCCCTAAAAGTCATGCCATATCTTTCTAAATGAACCCCTGGGAACAAAAGTCTGATTAGATGGCGAGGTGCCTGTTCAGCAAAAGCACCTAAATCCTCTCTATAAGGACTTGAGTATGCACCTGGGCCCCAGGCTGGGTCCCTTTCCTCTAGAGAGGAGTTAGAAGGAGGTACACAAAGACTCCAAGAACTCTAACTCTGAATCTTTCTAGTCGGGGCAATCAACAGACACCATGAAGCACTGCTCACACTTAGTGCTCTGTTGAATAGGTGACCAATGTGAATCGATCTAACCCAAAGCTGCTGTTGGAATGGCATCTTAAGTCTTCTGCTTTTCTCCTTTGGGTCAAACCTCTTAGCTCATAGACATCCTCACAGGAAAAAGAAAGAATATCACCAGGTTGAGGTTTGGATCATTTTGAAGAATAACTAGTCATGATTATGAATCAAAAGAAACCAACTGTCACTCCTAAAATTAAAAGAATAATTGTGGTCATTATAGCAAAATTAATAATCTATGTAGAGCTAATTAATACCTAATAGATATGGAAACAAGTTTTATGCTATCTCAGCTTCACTCCAATTTACAGAATCTCAGGCAAGTGTAAAGGTGTAGATGTGTGTCAGAGACTGACATGAAAAGAACCGAGCAATGTGCTTCATGCAAAGAAGATGCTCAAAAGACGCCTCTGGGGTGAGTCACAATGAGAGCTACAGAGTGACGAAGAATGACCGAATGGCTTGCACATGAATGAAAGAACAGCAGTAACCACCATCACTAACCCTTATCAACACAGTGCTTCCCATGTATGGGAGCTATTATTACCTCCGCCTAAAGGTGAAGACACTGAGGTCCACAGAGTTGAAGTAGGTATCCCCAAATTATGGAGCCAGTCAGGAATGGAAGCCATCTGACATAGTCATGGATTTATATGGCTTCTGCTAAAAACATCTGTAGCCTCCAAAAAGTAGTTTCAATATGATCAATAATGGCGATGGTGATGATGATCAGTTGTAGTACTAGTGGCAATAATGGTGGTATAGTAGTAGGAGCAACAGTGGTAGTATAATAGTAAGAGTATAGTAGCATCAGCAGTAGTATTATTATAGTAGCAACAGTAATAGAAGTACTAGTAGCCACAGTAGCAGCAGCAGTAGTAGTAATAGTAGTAGTAGTAGCAGTAGTAGTAATTGTAGTACTAGTAGTATCAGTAGTAATAGTAGTACTAGTAGTAGTAGCAGCAGTAGTAATAGTAGTACTAGTAGTAGCAGTAGTAATAGTAGTACTAGTAGTAGTAGCAGTAGTAATAATAGTAGTACCAGTAGTAGTAGCAGTAGTAATAGTAGTACCAGTAGTAGTACCAGTAGTAATAGTAGTAGTACCAGTAGTAGTAGCAGTAGTAATAGTAGTACCAGTAGTAGCAGCAGTAGTAATAGTAGTACTAGTAGTAGCAGCAGTAGTAATAGTAGTACTACTTGTAGCAGCAGTAGTAATAGTAGTACTAGTAGTAGCAGCAGTAGTAATAGTAGTACTAGTAGTAGCAGCAGTAGTAATAGTAGTACTATAGTAGTAGCAGTAGTAATAGTAGTACTAGTAGTAGTAGCCATAATAGTAGTACTACTAGTAGTAGCAGCAGTAGTAATAGTAGTACTAGTAGTAGCAGTAGTAGTAATAGTAGTACTAGTAGTAGCAGCAGTAGTAATATTAGTACTATAGTAGTAGCAGTAGTAATAGTAGTACTAGTAGTAGTAGCCATAATAGTAGTACTACTAGTAGTAGCAGTAGTAGTAATAGTAGTACTAGTAGTAGCAGCAGTAGTAATAGTAGTACTATAGTAGTAGCAGTAGTAATAGTAGTACCAGTAGTAGCAGCAGTAGTAATAGTAGTACTAGTAGTAGCAGCAGTAGTAATAGTAGTACTACTTGTAGCAGCAGTAGTAATAGTAGTACTAGTAGTAGCAGCAGTAGTAATAGTAGTACTATAGTAGTAGCAGTAGTAATAGTAGTACTAGTAGTAGTAGCCATAATAGTAGTACTACTAGTAGTAGCAGCAGTAGTAATAGTAGTACTAGTAGTAGCAGTAGTAGTAATAGTAGTACTAGTAGTAGCAGCAGTAGTAATATTAGTACTATAGTAGTAGCAGTAGTAATAGTAGTACTAGTAGTAGTAGCCATAATAGTAGTACTACTAGTAGTAGCAGTAGTAGTAATAGTAGTACTAGTAGTAGCAGCAGTAGTATGGCAGTTAACTTGTATTTTGTTTTATGAGCCAGCACTGTTCTAAACTCATTTTAACCTATCAATTAGCTTCATGACAACCCTATGAGGCCAAATTATGAGCTTTAATGGCTAAAGAAACCAAGTCCTAGATAGATGCAGCTAGTGAGTGGTTTCTTTAATATTTCTGTTTGCATGAAACCATTTGCTGGCCCCCTCTCTTTTCTCTTCTCAAGAAGAGAGGGAAAGAGAAGACAATACCACTTTGTCTGAGCTGATTCTGGAACAGTGGCAGCACTGAAGAAGAAAGGCCTGTGTCCATTCTGGCAGTCCTTGTTTGTCCCTTCCAAGCACATGAAACACCACAAAATACACTATTCTCTGATCCTGCATGGTGCCCTGATTTTCATTTCCACTGAAATGAGAGCAAACACTTTTAGAAAATGACTGATTCAATAAAGCACATTCCAGGCCAGTGCATAATGAAAACATCCAATTCAATTTTAAAATGAATTTAGCCCAGGTCTATAATTTTTACCAATGCCATATGCATCTTGCTGGGCCTTCCTCTTAGATTTTCACTCCACATGTAAATAAAAATAATCTCTTAAAGGGAAACTTCCTCATAGCAAAACACACAGCAGAAAAAATGTATTTGGCTGGCCTCCAGTGCCCCAGAGTGGAAGTACCAACTAGAAGCATGCATCAGTCTAAGCCTTTCAGTGCAGTTAATATCCCAGAAAGCCCACAGCCATTCTGCACTGAACATGAGAGACCGCAGTGTCAAGAAACCCAAGTAGAATTCCATTTCTTGTATCTTGGGGCAGTAAATGAAGCGAAGATATAAATACTCGAAGTTACGGAGAACTATCAAATGGGGCCTTGGCACATTGGTGCCAACTTGGGTTGCTGAACTGAATCTTGTTTCATCTTAAAAAAGAGTATTTTGCCATTTGGATACATTCTGAAATGGTTACAATGAGACTGATGTCAATCATTATAACTGGTCCCCATGGATGGCATTCTCATCATCCTCCCCATCATCTCATTCCCCAAAACAAGAAACAAGTGCTCTTCCTATGACAATGTGGAAAGGCCCAGTCCTAGAGCACACTGATGATTAATTCCATCGGAAAGAAATGAAGCTTGCCGTAAAGTCATATGCTGGGATGTAGGTGGTGTCCTAGAACGGGGAGTCCTAGGCAAATGAAGCAGCTGAGCGTCATGTGTTCACAGCTAAGATAACCACACGCCAGCTTCAGAAAGGTGCTAAGATTCTGTCCCCAAAACACACACCCGCTCTCGGCTTTCTACATGTTCAGCCAGCAGCACCTTCCCTTCCCTGAAGCCTTCCAGAGCTGCCTCTTACCGGGTTGTAGGAGTGAAATGATCATATGCAGAGAGTACCCGAAATACTCACTGTGTTTCTCTGGCTGCTGAAAAATTCTAGGAAAAAATGCTCCATCTGAAACATGTGTTGTTTGTGATTCCACTCCACACCCTTCCACATTCAACTTCCTATGGGCACCAGGTAAAAACGGAGGTGGCAAATGCCAGCAACCACGAAGCAAAGGAAAAAAAGGAAGGGATGCTGCTCTGTGAGTCGGACAGACAATAATCCACTTGGAAATCAGCGATTCCCCTCCTGTCCCTGATCATATTCTAAAGAAAAAAAAAATTCAGATTTTTATCTCAAGTTGGCAACATGATTTGTTCAGGTAAAATGCTGTTTAATCAAACTCGTTAAGAGCTAAGCGCTAGAATAAGGGTAAAATTGGTTCCCTGGCGTGGGAAGCTGCGCTTGGTTTAAAATGTGCTAATCTGTAAGAAACTGGAATTTAGTATCTTTTATTATAGCTTCCTAATCTCCCTCTGATGCAGCTCACTGGCTGTGCCTAACACTCTGCATGGAAGGAATGCTCAGCAGCGGGGAGACCTGTGTCTGCTCTTAAAGAAGCTCTTTTAGCAACCCAAGTTCGCAAGACTGCATCTTTTTTTGAGCAGCCACGATCTGAAAATTAGGAGGTAGATCATTACTTTGATTAAAATTAAGCTGGGTCATGTCTGTGACTTGAGATTCGGAGAAAGACAAGGAATTGGGACTTGACTCTACCTGCCTGGCAGGTGGCAGAGTCAAAGAAGAGGGTGGAGGGATGGACTGAAAAAGGATGGAGCCTCAACTTGCTCTTCAGCAAGGACCTATTAATATGAAAATTAATGTAATGTAATGGGCTGTTTCTTTTAATGCAGGGGGAGAGAACCACAAGAGATTATTTTGCAGAAGGATAAAGCTTCCCTATCTAGTTCATAACCCTGGGGAGATCCGGAAAAGTATGGATTTTGATCTGAACAATAATGAACTGGTAAATGATACAGCTTTCAGCTGTAGAATGACTCGATTAATTTGCTGGCTCTGGTGTTAAACCCAAACAGAGGCCCCGGAAGAGATAGGACTGTTATCTAAGCAACGACGAATATGCTGAAATGCTGTTTAGAAATAGCCTCGTAGTTCACTCTGCTATCATGAGCCTAACTTTTATTGCTTGGCCATCTTTATAAATTCTCATAAAAAATTTAATAAATGTGGTATAATCTAAAGAAGAATAGGGTTGTCATTTACAAATAAATGCCCGTTTCAATTTCAGTTTTCGATCTCCAACGTGAAACACATTTAAAAGGAAAAACTGTTCCTGTGTTCCAACCTACGTTATTTCTCCAGTTTCGGAGGAATGTCTTTGCTGTGAGAGAAAGGTTGAATTTTTACCTCTGCTTGGCATTGTGTCAGCCAGGGTAGACCCTTGTCTGTTAACTTGCCAGTGAGATGATTTTTCTTTCCAGTGGTGCTTTTTTCATCCCCACAGTGAGAAAAACCTCTTTCAAGTTTAAGTTGACTGTTGAAAGGCAGCAAAGGACACAACCGGACTTAATACATAGTAAGAATGTATCTCTCCATTTGCCAAGCTTCACACAGTGCCGGTAGGCAGTGCCTTCAGGATTGTTTAGATTCTATGTAACTACCAGGAAAAAGACAACATGACCAGCACAAGGGGCTGCCTTATCAGTAGCTGACCTGCAGCCATATGGGGCGATTATTCTACACTGGACTGGGGGGATTTCCAGCCTATTCTGAAATGCAGTTGTATCGTGCTCAGGACTCATCTCTCCAAAGGCATCTCAGAGCACGGGATGCAGGATGCAGTTTAGGGAGTGTTTGAAGACTGTGCATTATTGGCCAGGCACGATGGCTCATGCTTGTAATACCAGCAGTTTGGGAGGCCGAAGTGGGTGGATCACTTGAGGTCAGGAGTTCGAGACCAACCTGGCCAACATGTTGAAACCCCATCGCTACTAAAAATACAAAAATTGCCTGGGCATGATGGCTCAAGCCTGTAATCCTAGCACTTTGGGAGGCAGAGGTGGTGGATCACTTGAGGTCAGCAGTTCAAGACAGCCTGGCCAACATGTTGAAACCCCATCTCTACTAAAAATACAAAAATTAGCCGGGCATGGTGGCACACACCTGTAATCCCAGCTACTCGGATGCTTAAGCAAGATAATCACTTGAACCTGGGAGGCAGAGGTTGCAGTGAGCCTAGATTGCACCACTGCATTCCAGCCTAGGTGACAGAGTGAGATTCTGCCTCAAACACAAAAGAAAAAGAAAGAAAAATTTGTGCATTATCTGTGCTACCACTCAGCTCTGGGTGGCCCTCTCTGCTGCTTTCATCTGGGGTACACGTGCTTTCCTAATCCTGGGTCTGGTAACTCAGCCTGCCTGTGCACCAAGAAAAGACCCCAGTGCTGAACGAGGCTCCAACATGCCGAGTAAAAGAAAGGCAAAGTCTAAACAGTGCCCACTGGCTGGCAGGCAGTGGTGGCAGGGGAGCCAGCAGCTTCCCATCTCTCCAGTCCTTTTACCACATCTCATCCCTGAACCTTATGATGCGTCAGTACAATAAGGAGGAAAAGGAGAGCTTGGCTCTCCTCCAATAAGTTTTTCCTCTAAACACAGAGCACATTCTCCCACCCGAAACCCACCCTCAATTCCTGAGCCCATAAAACAGAGCGGTCATGGCAAACAGCCTGGACAAGATTGCCTGGGAAACAGATCCGGCTGCCATCTGCTAATTGTGCGACCTTAGGCTAGATATTTTCATTTCTTAATTCTCCAATTTCAAATCTGAAAATAGGGATAGTAGAAATATCGACTGAATAGGGTTGCTGTGAGGCGTAAATTATTTTACTCTGTAAATGCTGCAAGAGCTGCGAAGCAGCCTGGACTGATGCTCTCTGATAACACATGTCGGTGGGTCTCTCACTTCATTTTTCATACATTTGTAGCCTTGGCATAATAGTTTCATTTTCATCTGTACAGGTCATCTCGTAAGCTCTTGGGAAATTGGGCCACATAGTGGGCAATTTTAACATGAAGAAACAGAAACAGGGTGATGACATCTGCCTCTTGAGCAAATTATAAATTGTTTCCTTTCTGTGTCTCCATTTGAAAAAAAAAACAGGATATTAAAGAAAGATCCCAATAATAACAGTACCAAAGAGCTGTTAATAGGATCAAAATGTGATAACAACAAAAATAATTCCATACATTCTAAAGCACTTTGCCAATGCCTATAACTATTGGGCATGCAAACATAATTTTAGTTGTTGGAATCCACGATTCCTCACTAGAATTCCAGT